ATAAGATAGCGTTTATGCTTTTGCACCAGCTTCGATCCACCTCAAGCTTGAAACCAAAATCTAAAGAGTTTCAGATGCCCAGAAAATAGAAAAAATTTTATATCTTCGTTCAGAAAATCTCCGCGTCAGACACTCATACGTGCTGTTGCTGTATTTTTTTATTAGCTAAAATCAAGGAAACGAAAATCTCTACGTTTTTACCAAAGTGATGCTGTGCTGTTCTTGCACAACAGTTGTATTACTACTACGAGCCCTTAAAAGTACAGCCGCAAGTTTTTAGCTCTCTATAAGCTGTAGTTCCCAAAAATTATCGAATTTAACTTTCCTCATTTGAGTTTCTCATGTAAGTCACCATTTCTCGGAAACCAAAGCTTATAGAGAGCTAAAAATTTGCGTTGCACTACTTTGGTGAAAACATAGAAGTTTTCGTTTTCTTGATTACTAGCTAATAAAAAAATACGGCAATAGCACATACGAGTGTTTGATGTGGAGTGTACATGCGTGAGCAAGTAAGAGATCTGTGTGACCTCTTTGAGCAAAGATAGAAAAATTTTCTGATTTTCTGGGCATCCGGAACTCTTAAGATTTTGGTTTGAAGTGGATCGAAGCTGGTACAAAAGCATAGACACCTTCTTACAGAGCTTGCTTTGCTCTATCGAATGGTATCCTAATGCCTACTTAGAATATGAATTATTACAGCGAAAACTCAAATGAAAAGACTTATGGGACAACCCATTACAAAGATAATCTTCATAATTACTTCAAGAGATTTTTTTATCGTTTTTAGATTATCGATCTTGGACTCTTGTACATACCCTTTGATTCAATTGGATTGGTGGCTGGAAGGAGGGGCTTCATGACCTAATTAAGGCTAGAGAATGATCAGAGAGCACCTTTGCGAAAGACGCAGAGTGCGTCGCAAGCGCGAGAGGTTGCCTTTCAGGCGCTAATTTCGTTGAATCAAAGTGTATATGTCACACATGAAAAACCTGATTGTTGAATTTTTGAGATTTCTTGAAATCATTTTTGCCAATTCAAATGTGCGTTATCGAGGAGCTTTCACTTCCATTTCCAAACTCCCTTCGTATTACTATCGGTGCTTGCGGACGTACAAGAAAAAAATTCAAAAACATGAGAAGAAGGACTGAGATAAATTTTACAAAATATTCCTCCCTTCATCCCTTCCCCATATATGCTAGCTTTGTCGAATTTTGTAGAGTTTTTTTAGTGAGAGACGCAGAAAGTATAAAAGAACTCATGTAACAACTTAATATTTCAAACTTTGATCAATTGAATTGCATTTATGAAGCAGACAATTAGATTTGGCTTCTTCCAGTCCTACAAACTTCGAATATTATAGGCAGTTTCCAGGCAATTCTAGGGAGTGAGCATCTCTTCATGATTTCAGATTGGGCCATATGCTCCCTGAGCAGGGCTTCACGAGCTGACACCAGGGAAAATTCAAAACGAAGTCTCTTTTAACCCTTTCGGACCTGAGTTTTTGCGAGTGAGCCGAGAAGCCTCTCTCCTAGTGTTTTTTGCTTATTGCCATATGAATAACATTATAGCGGAGTTTGGAGTGCTTAACCTTATGAACTATTTCTTTTTGACTTTTCAATTTTTTGGTTTTGCGTTTATTTTGGATTTTCAAATCTCCCGCGAAACATGTGGACCCGCAAACAGTTAACAGTTACATTTGCTCAGCATCGTACTAAAACATTATGATAATATTATGAATATTTTTTGGCTAATAAACGAGATACTGAAACGGTGCTCAAGCCGGCGCAAATTATTGATTGGTTGAAATCCACTTGTTTACAGAAATGTACATGCTATTCACAGAGAAGCAAATGAACACCCGGTCTCGAAGCTATGTACATTTGGAAGGCAAAGGCTATATGAAGCGTTTGAGAGCAATGAGTAGTGAAATGATGTTCTTGCGTCAGTATAGTAGATCTCTGAATTGATGGTGGCAATTGCCACCACCAGGTCCGAAAGGGTTAATCTCGAAAATTTCGTACGAAGTCTCCTTGACCCTGAACCCTAACTGTAAAAACCCTTAAAAAAGTCGACTAAAAAATGCAATTTTTGTGTCTTATCGGTTACAACGATATTCGCTTTACTTTTTGTCCCAAAAACGATATCCAGGTTGACCCGGTGCCAGCTGTGCCGAGCCCTGTCCTTGAGTCATCGCCCATTTTGCCAACATATGAAGTTATACATAACGTACGAAGGAGTCCTCCTTCAAACATTCACTTTGTATTTTTACACTAGTTTCTCATTGACTTGTAGAGCAGATCGATGACGTCAGAGTTACTCATGATTGAAGAAACAGTACAAAACTACGAGCAAGTGACACGAAGTAGTGCAGAGATAATAGATAAAAGGATCTCTGCTCTTTCAACTTGCAAATGTTAATGCAAATTCAAAAAGTAGTACAACCTGCGTTCATGAAATAAGGACAACTTTATGCTGAATTACAACTGAAGTCAACCTGTACATGATGCGTAAGAAAGCGTTAAACATGGCCCATATTTTTCCCATCTTATTGTCTTTTCGCACTACTCAAGTCGCGTTCGTCGCAGATATGGCGTTGATTACGTGATCTATATTCTTCACAAAGTGGGGAAGGTGGTGTTTTCTTGTTTTACTGTGTATCCATTTGGGAGCTGTAAATTGCAATGGCTTTTTCTGCTAAATATATAAGATTAAATTATGAGTTTTCCTAACTGATATAAACTTCCGCATCAACCGATGAGGTATTTTCAATCCTTTTTATGCTGTGTGCGTGAGCTTCGCATTTTCATCAAATTTTGCTCACTGATTATTACACTCCATGCGCTTACTTTATCATTCACAATAATGGATTTGCTCGAATGGCTTACGACGCTGTCTAGGCTAATGTTAAGAAATGATACTTGGACGGAAGAGATCCAGCGTAGGCGAGTAGATTGGGCTACAGTGATGCAGAGCCTGCCTCAAAGAATAATGTGAGTAGATTTCCGTCTAACATAGATTTAGCACTTTTGGACCCGCATATTCACAGTCACTTTGCGTTCATCTCGTGATCTTAGGTCGGTGCTGGAGTTTTGTCGGTTTTTGACTTATCTACATCCCTTGGAATATAGATAGAGTACATGGCAGTAATGTTCGATGCAAATTTTTTTCTCTTCAAGAGCTATGGCAGTGACTCAATTTTTCTGGAATAATCGCACGAGTTTCTGATTCACCGTTTTCTCTTTGACTCATTTCACTAATTTTCAGGATTTTGGGACTCTAACCAGCATATAATGCAAGTGTGAAAGTGAATGCTGCTTTTTGTGTTTCTCTGACTTGTTTATGGGATTTTCGAAGTGTGTCTTTTTGAGTGACAATGATTTATATTCGGTCTACTCAAACCTAGTGAAACATTGATAAATGACTTGGGAACCTTCTCTGCAACCTTTTCTCCTCTTGAAGAAAAAGCGCTGTAAAAGTGCGCACTATCTCCAAAGCTGCAAATCTCCACTTTCCAAAGCGATAAGTGCTCATCTTCTACGTTGATTTGTTGGTAGCGATAATTGTGTCCTGGAACCTTGAAATAAGATGATCTAGTGTTTGTTGCTCATGTGGATTATTTTTTTCTCAGAGCTCGGGACTTTAGAAACATTTAGAAAAATTTTACAAGACCAGCCAGTTAGGAAAAAATGTAAGGCTTATGGCAGAGACTTTTCTGTGCTGGTTAACAAAGATTCTTCGAAGATTCCAACTAAAAATTTGAAAGTTAGCGATATATAGACAAGGTGAAAATGAAGGGTTGTAAAATCGGGCGACTTCTCAGCGCTCTTGGAAATATTACTTCGCACGCGTGACTGCGATTAAGAAGAAGAAAATCTACATAGGATATAGATGAAAGTATTAGTTTGGCACGAAAGTTCTGTCGCACCATTTTCAAAAATTCGTAACATCTGGTCTTTCCAACCGATTTGACTATCTTCATTTTTGTTTGAAAGGGTAAGTCATGCTCTTTATAATGGCATCTTATAATTAGCTGCTTACTAGTGATCATTTGTCACATAGATAGGAGCGATAAGAAAATTGGTCAAAATTCGAATTTTTTGTGTAGGGTCATGAAAAATCGGATGTATCAAAAATCGGGGCAGCCAGTATTGTGAGTATTTTCACCAGCTCTTTCTAACTGTGCAAAGTTTGTGCCCATTGAGCGCCTCTATGAAAAGTTATGATTTTCGAGCAAGCAATACAAAAGGGCGAATTTAATTTATTTTGGCATTTTTCAGGGAAATCGTAACTTTTCATAGAGACGCTCAATGCGCAAACTTTGCAGTGTTGGAAAGAGCTGGTGTCCGATTTTTGCTGCAAGTTTCCGATTTTTTATGACCCTACACAGAAAATTCGAATTTTGACCAATTTTTTTCTATCGCTCCTATCTATGCAATAGATGACCATTAGTAAGCAGCTAAGATGTCCTTATAAAGAGCATGACTTACTCTTTTGAACAAAAATAAAAGCAGTCAAATCGGTTGAGAAAATCAGAAGTTATGAATTTTTGAAAATGGTGCAACAGAAGTTTCGTGTCAACCTAATATTTATTTATCTCTTCTACGAGTGGCGTGTAGGTCCAAAAAACCGAAAGAACTTTTGCGACAGCGTAATTTAATTCTTCGCAATTTTCTTGTTCTCCAATACTGAATGAGATTTTGATTTTTCCTTAACTCCTGCTAATAGTCATAGGCAAAACTGCCGGCTATCTGGATTCGACATTGTTACTACACACGGTCTGATAGACATTCATCTGTTTAATCACTGGATTGCTAGCAGAAATGTCTTTCTAGTAGACAAGATTCTTGGATCCCGTTCATTCTTATGTCTCTTTTTGTCTACATCAAAGGCGTGGAGCACGGTCTAGCACATCATGAATAGCACATAGCAACATTTAGTCCGCATCACAAGTTCTTGCTGAGAAGCTCTGCTTACTAATACGTCTTGAGCCCTCAAGTATCATGTTCCATATAGCCGTATTTCAGGGTTTCGCGCACGGAATGTCTGTGGAATTCACTAACATCTCACTTGCGGATTATGACAAGGTAAGCAATGCTAGAAAGATAAGATGTCGCCTCTTTTTTATCTGGTAAGTTGATGCTGGACAAGGAATTCCAAGTAACTGATAACTTCATATAAATCGTTCATTCAGAAGCACACTACATGATAAAGGGAAAATGTTCATAATCATAATGAAAAATATATTTACCGGCATTAACTTACTGCTGCATACGCTTCAAGTCTGAATGAAAATAGATAGATTTAGACATCAACATTCTTTTATGCTGGCGAGGGCAGCATCCTCTTTTTCTTTAACTCATTTTTCGTTTGTCGTTTTTTGAGCAGCAAACATTATCGTGCCCAAAAAGATAGTTTGCTCATTGTCGGTGAGTCTCTCTCATCAAGTTTACTCTTCTGTGAGTTATTTACATCGCTTTCAGTTTCAGGATATCTTATTTTTGATACTCTTTTCGGGCTGACCTATATGTGCAGTGGAATCTATAGGATAATACTAATTTATGCATTCTCGTATGAGTGTAAGCTATAATCCTGGTCATTTACTTCGTTCATAAACACCACCATGATCAATCAGTAGACCGAATAAGTCGAACCAATAGCTTGCAAAACTGACACTGATTTCAGATTTTCCTGCCTTAACAAAATGGGAGTGCATTGAGACACCAGCGCTTCTATTTGTTATAATCACTCCTACAGCAGGTTGGCAGCCAATCCTTATAAATGTGGAAGGTTCCCTTGAATCTTTCTACTTCAGGCATAATTGTATTCGTGACTGCACTCGATAGGTGTTTCGTTGCCATGTACCCGCTCAAATATCTTCAGTTGAACGTGCGATATGCAATAATCGTGATCTGTATCCCTTACGTAATTGCTCTTGTTCCCATTATCAAAGCTCTTCTGGGCAGTTACTTCAATAGATTTGTTCAAAATGTGAGTCGAACGCAACACAATGCTTTTTCAACATCGAACAAACATTTTTCAATCTATTCTTCAAATTATTCTCTTTCTTTTCAATCTACAAGGTTAATGGTAACTATAAAGTAAGCTTTCAAATTGCAGGAAAGTGCCGCCTGCAACCTCGAAAATGCTCTAACTCGTGAGGACTTCACGATACTTCGACTTGTACGGGTCGTTCTTACACTATCTTGTATTGTAATATATATCCCCGTTACTATCAAGATGTATCAGGTTTGTAGATTTTTTTCTTGGTTATCGAAACTACATCATTGACAAGCGTATACTTCCATTGTATCATATCGGACATAGGCATACAATTTGTGAAATTCGTGAACATAACGAAATTTAGCACCAAGTATGAATTGTCAAGATGCCTCATGGTATAGCGAGCGACAGACGAAGTCTGAAGTGTGCTTGAAAGAATTTGGGAATCAGAATAAGTTCGTCCGTAGTAGTTCTTGCTGGCCGAATATGGGCGTATTTCTGTAGGAAGAAACATTGAAGATACTGCAGCTAGGTATAAGAGTTTCGGGAAGCAAGAAGAAAGATTAGAACACGTTAGCAAATTCTAAGGCTATAAAAGAAGTATTTGCTAGTGGGTTCGGTACGGAAATCCCGGCCATCATAAGAGTTTAGGTCACATCTGATAGGCGTATGAGTTATTCGCCGCTGGTAGAAAGTCTGGCTGGAGAAAATTTGTGGGTCCTTGGATGGACAAAATTAGCATTGTTGTAGAAGCCATTGCGTCTGGCGGGAAATCTTTGAGAATTAGGAGAGACTCGTGGCAATTTCCGTACGAAGGAGTAAGATGTGAAAAGAAAGTGTGTAGGAAGGCAGATTGCGACGGATTGTGGTACAGAATTTGACGACGTGAAGGCAATCCTTGATTGAAAAGTATTGGCGCCTGGAAGGCGGGGCTTCGAGGCCTAATCAAGGCTAGGGAATAATCAGAAAGCAGGCTCGCAAGAGAGACGCAGACTGAGTCTCGAACGCGAGCGGTCGCCTTTCAGCCGTCCAATCCCACTGAATCAAAGGCTACATTGTCGCACATTTCTAGGATTCATGTAAAACTTGGGGCCTTGGCAAGTGGATGTCGGGATGCGAGAGTAGCTTTTGTATGAAATTGATCTGAAAGCATTTGCATGTTAGTCTATATGAATAGTGATAAAAGATGTTGTTTGTATCTGTGCGCTTACTTTCAAAAATTCCATTTCTGAACCGCATCGGACCAATTTTTGTACGCTTTACGTGCACATCGAGGAGAGGGACGAACGGCATAGGCTATCCGATAACTACCATGAATTTTTTTTGACGAACTTTGAGTTAGAAGGAGGTGTTTTGCTCAGGAAGGTGAGTGAGCGAGCTGATTACAGGCGTAACACATATGGACTGCGTTATCAGTGAAAACCTCTATTTCCAGCGCTTTCGCTCAATTGCGTTCATCCATCATGCTGATCTCCAAGGTGTAGTTCTTGTAGTTCTTTGCAAAGCGCAAAAGCAAGTTTCTTTTAACAGTTCTTGAAAGGTAGACGCAGGACTGTCAAGACTAGAGACTATTGTGCGATCTTATGAAACTGTGTGCTATCTGACGATGTAAAGAAAATATTTAGACGAGCGGCCGGGCTTATAGAAACAACTACTTGTAACACGTTTCGGACCGCGAAAGCGCGGCGAAAAAGAGTGTACTTTCAGCAGTTAGCCAACAAAGGGGCTTTATTTCGCAGACTGTGGGCTTGATCTGTGATCAGCATGTCAAATAAGCTCCATATCTGAAGTTCTGAGTGAATTTGAAGTGTTTGAATTTTGTCGCTTGAGAGGGACTTTCGTGCTTTGTTGAAAAATAGGAACAAGAACTCACTTTCAAATAGCATTTAAAAGCATCTGTGTTGCACACTGTACACTCACTATTGAAACTACGGTTTTTCTCTATGAAATCTTTGCGACGTCGCACGCGTCGTTCGCGTTGCCGCACATCGTTGCAACTGTTATTCGATTTGTCCCCACATCTTCTGAACAAATATCCGGCACAGCTCTATAGAGTCATTTGAAAAGTAGGAGCTTAAACCTTTGACATAGTAACCTTAACTGAAAGAAAACCTTCTGTAAACGTCAGAAAGAACCTTCAAAGCAGCGTGCTGCACCATGTGCAGCACCGGTCCGAAACGTGTTAAGGCGATTATCTCTCCTCACTCAGATTTTCAGGACCCAGTTTGCTTGATTTTGTCTACAAGTTGACGAAGCCATTTTGGGAGAAACCCACTAATATTTTTAGCGCATTTGGCGTGTGCATACGCGCATTTACATAAAGTCATTATGTGAGGGTCTCTTTAACACATTTAGCATATTTATTCACAACAAAAATGGGCTTAATCCTAAATTTGCGGTCTAAACTCTTGCAGCTACAGCAATCCTCTGTGTTCTACATGATAACAAGGCCACCACTACTATCACTGCGTGCAGATTACTTGGGGACTTTTCGTTCACATTTAAAAAAATGGCTTGAATACGTAATGCACGAAAATGCTAGACGAAAGTCAGGGCTGTTATCCGCGTATGCCATGGTGGGTCACGGCTTAAATTTGTCAAAATGATTACAACTATTAGGTACATTTGTTTCCTGAGTTTTACGCTCTTACCTTAGAGGATACCTTGACGTTTTTTGGCTGCTTTTTAGAATTTGTGTAAGTATAGTAGAAGTGGCAGTGCTACATCGAGAACTGTCGTGACATTCTGGAATAGGGGAGGTTTTGAAGGCAGGCTTGGCAATGTTTGTGCAGCATGAAAAGCAAAAGTTGTTTGGCGTGCTACTTCGCGCACCTTCGCGTTTCAAAAAACAGGAATTATTCACTTCTTCTACACTTATTTCCCTCATATGCTATTTTTTTCGCTCAGAAAGTTCTAGCTACTGCGCATGAGCCAAGAGAAAGTATCCAGCGTGGGATTATTGGTGACTTCGACTGAACACCGCTACCTTGGTGCCCCAATCCATCGTGACTTATAATAACCCACTAATCTGTCGGTGTGCGAGTTGGTCTGTTACGAAATTACAGTGAGGAATGATTTACATTGCTTAAAATGCATATGAGAGTTGCAAAACAAGTAAGGTTCATTTTTGTGTGATTACTTAGGTGTCTCCCATTGAGGAATGATGAAGGCGTAAGTAATAATAATAATAATATAATAATAATAATAATAATATAATATAATAATAATAATAATAATAATAATAATAATAATAATAATAATAATAATAATAATAATAATAATAATAATAATAATAATAATAATAATAATAATAATAATAATAATAATAATAATAATAATAATAATAATAATAATAATAATAATAATAATAATAATAATAATAATAATAATAATAATAATAATAATAATAATAATAATAATAATAATAATAATAATAATAATAATAATAATAATAATAATAATAATAATAATAATAATAATAATAATAATAATAATAATAATAATAATAATAATAATAATAATAATAATAATAATAATAATATAGTATATAATGTAATACGTAAGTTTGCTTACATCTTTCATGATAGCACTAGCCATCACGAAAAGTGTGCTGAACTACTTGTGTAAGAAAACTTTCAACCGTGAGATATACAAAAATAACAGACGCCACCCACCGAACTTTGAGTAAGCTGAGCTCCGGGAATTATGGAAGCTAAGATACTAGCAATTCCAGACAACATTTTCCGTCCCTGTTCCCTCTCCTGTTTTCGTAATTAGTATGCTCACGTACCCCCCCCCCCCCACCTCTGCCAGCTCCAACGTAGCTCATAGTTTGTAGCAAGTCGATAAAATGATGTTGACAACAAAAAATAGCCTGTGACATCCGCGCCAACCCGAAGTCGGTCCGGATCTATTTAGAAATGAAATTTTCTATTCAGAAAATACATAAAGACTGACATCAGCACTATATACAAGATAGTTGCTCGTTGCTCATATCCTGCATGTGGCTGAAGACGACAAAGTCGATAAAGGGCAACAAATACATCATATACAATATTGCAGAATATTCGTGCTCACTATAAACTGGCCCACTATAGCGAACGCAATGAAAAAAACCTCCTTCGAATGACAGTCACTATCGCGCTTATTACATCAAATACTATCCTCATGTTTACAATTCCTGATCTGATCCTTCTGAGATATCCGAATTACAAGTCTAATATACTCTACATACTGAATCTGAACAAGGTAGGCGTTATAGGATTTCGTATGCTTTTTACCGAGATACTGCACTTTGTATTACAATGCTCGAGCAATGTTATCCTCCTTTCATTATTAGAAGCCATTCATCGATGCACATATTATGCTTCTAGAATAGTGATTCTGACATTCAGGGGGTGATCAACATCATCATCTTCGTTGCCACTCAAAGGTCGTTCCGACAAGTCATTCTAGGCAGATCAGCCACGAGCATGATTGCCGTAAGTGCTCAAGTACTATGATAAAGAAAACCTCACGATTCACATTGCTTCATAGCTAACAAAGCCTACGTTGAATATCTGTTTTGGTATTATTTATAGACTTCAATCAGAATCGTTGGGAAACCACGGCACTCGTTCGAGGTCGGCAATGGTAGCAGTGGAAAGTCTACCAAAGCTATTGTTGTAAAAGTTGGTTCTTGAGGACGTGGACTCACCGTAAAGTTATCTCTGCCACTTCTCTTCAGATCTTGTATAGATTCATATGGATGTGCATGTGGATGTACGCATAGGAGTTATGATGAGTAATATGTACTTGTATAATGCTATTCTGTTGTTCAATTAAAAAAGAGTTACCTGAAGGTGTTGAAAACTAGGTACAATGCACTGATAGTATTTAGAATTTATAGAGACGTTGTTATCACTATCATTTTTACTTTCGAAAACCTTAGGTACTTCGTAACCCCTTGAACTGGTGCGAAAGCTCAAAAATCAAAATAGTTCATTCACACTTCAGTAAGAAGGCTGAATTAGAAAATTAGTAAGAAGGCCGGGCGGAGACTGATCAAACCTTTTCATCGAATATGATGTTCTATATATGTTACAATGATTAGGTCTGGTAAGTTCCATCGATTGCACTGTACACGCTACAGTAGCTACATCTCCACATAATAAGCGCGTGTGAAAATTAAGCAAAGTGTGAAAATTAATTAGTTCTCACGCGTGACTCTGAGAATAAGGAGCCAAAAGAACCTCTATATCTCGATACTTAGACATAAGGAGCCGTACACCAATATCTAATTATGCGTATATTACTTGCTCTTTTATTGTTTTATCTCCTAATGCCGCTTATAGTTCATTGAGTTGTGAACAGAATGCGTCTCCTATGTCTTCTCTCGCTTTCTAGCTCAGAATAATTGATTATATCATATGTTTTATTTTGCAGAAATGTTCCTGAATTTTTTGCGAATGAATTAATTGCCTACTATCGTCTCCAAGCCTTGAGCTTCTTCACAGACTACTTCAGTTGTAATAAGGAAATACCTTTACGAAAAGTCGAGTAAAGCCAGTGATATTATCGTTTGTGCCTTGTTGTGTTAGATTCAGTGCATTAACTTGTACTACATAGTAATCTATTCCCTATTAGATGTATTTTTCTAAATATATATGTCATGCAAAGGTAGAAGGTAAAATCACAACTCGCACTCAATGTATGATATCCAGAATGCGAGTCGCCCTGATCAAACCTTGATAGCTTTCCTCCAGCCATAGGCAAGTCAAGCCGAATATTTGGCAGCAACCAAAATGAGGAAGACTTGCTCAGGCCGATGTGAAATTCGGTACTCTCCCATTATCCGGATCCATTTTCTCAAAAAAGGATTTTGCCTTGTTCCTTGTGTCATATTTAGTCCCAGCTCCACAGGAAAGCGTGCCAACCTTTTGTCAATATATTAGGTCGTTTCAAAAGTAATTTCGCTTTTTTCAAACGGGCGCCACATTTGATGGAACAAAGGTTTCTAAGAGATCTTGGAGGCATTCGATGCAGAATTTCATTCTCTTTCTAACGGTCATGAAAATGTTGCAAATCAGTCAATGAGCTTTCAGAAAATAACCAAAATCTGCGAGCCATGCTTTTTGAGATGGTCAAATTTCACGTTTTTTTAAAACTTTCATATCAATCCTCAGAAGGAGTTCAAGTAAAGATTCGATAGAGTAAACCTCATAGAATACATGCTACTTTTTTCTCCTTCTCTTGGCTCGCCGTAATTTTTCAAAAGATTTTTTAACAGAACCATTGGATTTTGGCAGGCCCACCTCAGCCACATTCGCAACAAACACCAATGAATTTTCGGGATTTGAAACTTCCAAGGTGGTATATGACTAAATATGATTTTACAAAGCAAGTGAGAGTTTACGGGTCCGAAATATCAAATTTCGAGTTTTTCGGGTGGAGCCTAATTTTCATCCTGTTTTCAGCGAGCATAATAGATTCGCTCAGAACAGAGAAGAGGGCTAAGGCTCCATCAATCGGCCAAGCAAGAGGGCCGCTTATCTTAAGCAATCATAGATTCTTTCCTGTCAGGACTCGCATGGCAGAAACAGTTTGTAGAGAATGATTTGTGGATTATTGCTAAAAGAGATCAACGCTCTAGCAAGCGTTTTGGCCTTTGCTTAGAAAAAAAAAGCTAGATGGCTTTTGAGTCAGCTCAAAAGCTCTTGTTTCTCCCTAAATGATTTTGAGAAAAAAACATGTCAAACTAAACCAAAAGTTGTTGATATTTTTTCCGAAACGCGGCAGCTAGGCAGTCCTCATAGAATTTATAGGGATACTTTTTGGACTAAATCAAGTTCTTCATGACAAATCTTCGTAAAAATGGGTCCGGATACCGGGAAAGTACCTAAAATTCTTCATTTGAAGGTTGTTTCGGAATGAATGATCTCATCCACATCTTATCAAACATGTTGGGACTTTTCCTTATTCTAGACTAATTACTCTGTTAGCTGAGTGAAGCGTGTTTGATTACTTTAGGCTTATAAACGTTGCTGCGATTCATTTGTAATGGACTGTGTAACAAGTTCATGCCTCCTTTGATTGCGCTTGATCCATTTTGTTTAGTGCTGAAAGATGATGCTTCTGAACACTTCAACTCTACATTATCAAATTTCTGGCTATTGGACTGAAGGATTTTAAAGTTCTCAGTCTTTCGAAGAACAACTGGAATAATGATTTATCCGTTTTCGGCATTCGTTTCTGTGTTTCTTTTAAATGTAATTCTTTTGGAAAAATTCGACAAAGCAAAAGGCTGACTAGTGTCGAAGTTGCTTTCAATATCTATAACCCGGCCTTGTTTCATTAGGTTTGTATTGCCACTTTTTCAAAAATCGACGAAGGAAGAGTTTCTGGAGGCGAGTTTTGTGGCCTCGCCTACATAAGTTGTGTGCAGCCACAAAATTTGAGTAACTCCATTTTCATCCATCTTTTTCCCCATACTCGGCTGCCCTGTCGACAATCTTCCACAGTAGTATCTTCACAAGAAAAACGTCGTCACGAACAGAAGTCCAAGGCCATGACGTGTTCTCGGTTTGGCAGGGATTTTTTTACCCTGACATCCCCGCCCTATCGCACTTTTACAATCTGCTTTCGCATATTTTTTCATCCTCTTAGAGAGAAGTCATTGTCGGAATCGTTTTCTACCTTCTGTGTCCATTGTAAAATCTGGATAAGGCAGAACTATCCAATACAAGCAATCCAAGCAGATCCGTAATGGTAGGATGTATCTGTCACTACGCAATGTTACAACTCAGACTGCCGCCAGACAGGAAGTATTCGCGGCGGTTTCACAGAACTTCACTTACTATCGCAAAGCTTGAGCGTCGATTATAGGAGCCTCCGCACTAATTTGACTCCACTCTGACTAAAAACGGAAGCTTTCGCAGCACTTTCCATAAAATACGGCCGCAGATTCGTTTCCGCAGTCTTCTACGGGAAAATCTCGGTCGGTTGTCAGAGGATGTTGTTACTGTACAAGGTTCTTGTTTCCTGATGACCTCATAAAACATTGTTCTTCCTGAATCTAGTTTCTTCAATTGTCTTTACGTTCTATATGATCATTATCGTGCTATTCACAGCCAGCAAAATGTATGAATTATTTATCTTTGATCGAATTCCGAAATTTTCGCATTACAGTGCTGTACTAGGCTACCTATCCCAGTTGTTGTATCCACAGTGCTAACCCACTTGAGAATGACGTTGAAATTCACAAATGTTTCTATTGCTGATTTCAATAAGGTAAGCATCAAATGTGTACCGGTGTCTGAGAAGGGCATAAGTAGGTCATGTGAACCAGCGAAATTACCGTTTCACAGTCATGACAACCGTTTGTCCACAATAATATGAAAACGCTGAAAATGCTAGAAATGCAAACCAACGAAACTGGAAAGAGTTCATTGAAGATAACCCTCGTTTTCCACTCCTATCATTCCATTTTTGAGTGGAATTATTGATTGCAAGTGCGTAGTGATGAATTTTAGACATCAGCGTTCGTCTACACTGTTGAAGGAGGCTTTCTCTTCGCTATGAACTTATTCCTTGTTTGCCGTTATTTATCGAACAAAAAGTATCGCTCTCAAAAAGACAGTTTGCTTATAGTCGGTACGTTCTGCAAGAAGACATGTCTCGCCGAAAATATCAAAGTTCTTCAGGTTATCTCATTTTCGACACGATCTTTGGGCTGACATACTTGTGCAGTGGACTTTATAGAATATTGCTTGTATACGCACATGCATACAAATGTATATTTTAAATGCTGTGTAATTCCTCGGCTTTCTCTAGATTGAAGCTTTCTCTATTCCAGACTTCCCAATCTCCACAAAATGGGGATGTATTGGCACACCAGCAATTTTATTCATAGTAATCACTCCTACAGCAGGTTAGATGTTGCTCACTAGCGATGTTTGTCTGAATCATTATTCTCATGAGCGATTTGCACTACAGGCATATACGCTTTTGTTACTGCTCTAGACAGGTGCTACGTTGCAATGTTTCCTTTCAAATATCCTCAGCTGAATGTACGATATGCGCTAGTAGTGATGTTTATTCCATATGTCATCGCTCTGGCTCCCATAATCAAGGCTTTGATTGGGACTTACCGCCATAGATATGAAGAAGTAAGTTGAATACATTTGATGATTGCTAAAAACCAAACATTCGTTCAAAAGTCAATTGTCTTCACCGCAAAGAGTCCTTTGTCTGCGGTTCGGGAATGCTGACACTGGCATTCTAATTTTCGGGGAGGGGGGGGGAATGGGAAGAAATTTTAAGGAATTGGCGTAGCCTTGGTCACGCTCTTCAAAGTTTTTGGCGAGCTTCCCAGAATTTCGCCGCCTTTTAACCGTGTAGATTTGGAAAGGTCACGAATATTTTATACCAGGTTGACTTCAACCTATCTACAATGCAAGGATTATTTTAGTCATAAGCAGTTGAAGCAGAATAATGCCTATTTTAATCTTATCTGAACCTCTCATGAAAATTTCACGACCCAACCGGCCTGGAAGCACACCGTTGGGTCGTGAAATTTTCATGAGAGATTCAGATGAGATCAAGAAACCTCCCCCACGATCGGTCAGCGAAGCTGCAACCGTATCCTCCAACATCGCAAGTGCAGCTCAAAGTAAACTCATTTTTCAAAAGTCCCGCTCTCCTCTCAAGCTTCTACCTAAGTGTGGGGTGATGGGGCTAGCACTTGAGCATTCATAGATGTCCAAAACATTAGTACAGGATCCGACTCTTATAGTTGATAAGACTCCTTTCAGGTTAATTCGCTTTGCCTTCTCGAAGATGCCCTCACGCGCCAGGATTTCAATATTCTGCGCATTTTACGAGTGGTTCTTACGCTGTCATGTGTTATTATATATGTGCCAGTCACTATAAGAATGTATCAGGTACTCTGCCACGTAAGGAAGGAGCTAGTGAATACAAGTAGTTCTAATCCGACGAATAAGACGAGATCATCACCAAATAGCGTGTATCCACCAATTCTTCTCATGGGTACCCAGAGTACACGTGCAATGCACAAAGGACTGCCCTCTGGTAATACTTGTTACAGCGTTTGGATTATTTGATTTACTCCATTTTGCCCATTTCTTGTGTGCTGCGTTCGTGATCGGTAACCATGGGATGCGTACGTTTTCTTCCGGCCTTTCTTCACGATTTTTGCGTTTGGGAAGGCTCAAAATTACGATGGATGGAAATGGGTTCTCTCTTCCCTGCTGTCCGAACTGAGATAAGATAATAAAGAATGCAAGATGTTTCGGATTTGTTTCTTTGCCGTCTCTGCGTTCGTTTTTCTGTTGATCACAGGTAAATCAAAATTGCTCGCTAGGGCCCCAAGAATCTCTAGCATCATATCGCTTGGTGTCCCAAAGTGTTCGCTGAGTCTCTTTAGCAAGGAATAGCACTTCGAAGGCAGTCCGACATGCGTTGCAAGTGTCCCTGAAGTACCGATAGAAGGAATGCGCAGAACTCGAGGATTAATACGTAGACCTTTATATAGTAAGCTAGAGGATGATGGTGTAAAGTATATGGGATGGCGTCTGTTGATTCTAGTGTGATATGATATGAAGAATTCTTGGAGATAACAAAAGTGCTCGAAAGTGCTGAAGTGATAAACAGAGGCCAAATCACCGAAGCGTAGCTTTTCTTGTTATATTTATATGTTTTGTTCTTCTCTCTGTGAATCTCTGCATGATGTAGATGTTGTGATCGTGTTGGTAAACCGCACATTCATTAGCTGGTTTCGCAGAGCGTCTTTTCTGAGCATGTAATGGACAAAATAATGCGCAACCTATTTAATCAAATGTCTGTGCAGCTCTGCAAACAAAGTTTCAGGACTATGCCTGGCTATTTTCCCCTTACATGATCCTAAATAAATGTTGGCCATATTCATCAATTGTGAACGAAATCCTTCTTTGTTAGGCATAGTCTTAGAACTTTTGAGGCGGAATAGAGACCTCAATACCTTAAAGCCCTTTTGAAGTCCCTACAGTTATGTTACAGAAATGAAGAGCGATCAGTGATTTGCATCTTAGTGGTGAGCAGAAGACTTCTTGGGAAGAGAGATATTAACGATCAAATAGTGCATGCATGCTTTTGAGACCCTGCACATTTATGAACAAGGAAGGATTGTATGAGAAGAAATAAAATATCTCGGTTTCCCAATTGATGAATATGGCCAGCACCTACTGTTGGGAATTAAACACAATCAGTCGCAAAAACAAAAATACTTGACATAAACAATAACAAAACGCGCTTTTTTGTGAATAGCTTTTCGAAAGTACCATGAATAGTATACCAAGATCGAAAGCGGTTGTACCACTGAACTTGAAGCCTACTATAGTTGGAACCGAATATTCGTATTCAAACAATTTACTCGAAATATTTACTCCTCGAATATTCGAATAGTCGTATACTCGACAAAGTCCATTTACTTCATTATTCGAATAGTCGCTTAAATGAAAGAGACCTTTTCATAAAGAAATGCAGATCGAATGATATTTTTAGTTCGGATATTTTCCAAATATCAATTATTCGATATTCGTTCGTTTGACAAAATTTTGCGGTAGTTACAGTCATAAAGTCCTACAATTAAACTAGGGCGGACGCGCATATGAGGTACTGGGAATTCAATCTGATTGGGAGTATCAGGTCGGCGCGGCTCAGCGAGCCGCCCCCCGCTTTTGCCCATAGCATATACGGTATTTTCCCTCGCCTGAGGCCCTGACATACCTCACGCGGCTTCAGTCGCGGCGCGATTTGGCAATACTCCAGTTGTTCACAGGGTTTCGTAGGGGTTCCTGAATGTACGGAATATAGAGTTTATAAACCAACGAAAGTTATACATGCTGTGCATTTTGGTCTGCCGGTACTGATTGAAGACATCTGGCAAATTGCCAGATCCCGTGGCGACTAGAATTGCGTGAATTGTATTCACAGCCTGAGGCATAGGACTGCCGTATAGTTAAACAAGAATGGCTGGTGAGTCTGGGAAAACGCTCCTAGACACGTTCGCGAATGGAGCGAGTGTCCCAGGCGACGAGGCTCGTAAGAACCTGCGCCGTTTCGACCGTGACATCCATGACAACCCCTGTACGCTTATGCGACGCAGCGCTGGCATAACGAACTCCTATGTCTGTAAGCTACCCTCTTTAACCAAATGTAGGCTAGTATATCTGACGTTTACTATAGTGTCCTTGCGCTGCCGAGATTGGGTGATTTGCGTGTGCAGAACGCTGAAATTCCAGGCGAGGTTTCACGCGCCTTGGTTGCCCAATCTCGGCTGTAATAGGTATTCTTCTGCCCCTTTGCGACGTCAAATTAACAGCAGCCGGTAATGAACCTTGTAAGTTGACTATTTGAACAAGAAGAAGTTAGACCTGTCTATATATAATAAAATATGGTAATGCTTGTCAGATAAATCAAAAGCGGCTTAGGCACTACTCTTGAGAGTACTACTCTTGAGCTTGCACAATTTGCACTTTCTATCTTACGCAGCCGCTTTCGCGTCACCTTTCCATGGTATACTGTTTTCTATTTCCAAAACAGTGTCTCTGTGGCCATCGACTTGCTCTAGTGCAGGCCGCAAAAGTATGCAATTACTCAAGCAAATGTTGAAGTATATCATGTTGCAGAACATTCGCGCTCATCAAAAACTAGCAAACAACACCGGTGGCAGAAGTCAAAAAAGGCTACTTCGAATGACGATTACAATCTTTCTGGTCACATCGAATACTATATTCATGTTTACAATTCCTGATCTGATCCTTCTGAGTCAACCAAATTTCGGTGCAAACATATTCTACATCCTGAATCTGAACAAGGTGAGTAGTATTTATGATACTCTTATCTGAATATGCGAATTCAATGCAAGTGCATTGGTCCAAAATTAAAGACGTCATGGGGAAACCCCAAGATAAAGCGATATAGCGAAGAGCTAAGATTATACAATCTTGTTTCGATCTCGCTGATTTTAGAAACCTAGGTCGGAGAAAAAAAACGCCAAAATGGGCTTCCGCGAAGCCTTGACTTTGAATGTGCTCTCGTGGAGCAGCGCTCAAGAATGAAGGACGCAAAATCGTTGTGAGAATTCTTCTCCCGCTGTGGAATCTAAGGCCTAAGGCATACTTACCGCGATTCCTTCAAATCGCTACATCCACACAACTTGGCGATGTACCAGATGTTTAACGATTAATAATCGTGCGCGGGTCCAAAATGCTTAAGCACGTAGCTTCCGTAAGGTGTCGCAAATGCACCAAGTCTACCCCAAGCAAAACGCACTTACGACCATTTATGAAGTCTTGCATTGCCAGATCGCGCAGCGACTGGAATCGCATGAAGTATGCCTTAGGCCTAAAACGACCTTAGAAGACATCTTGGACTTCTGTCTAAGACTATTAGCAAACTCTAAGATCAAAAGTGAACTCGAAGTAAAGTATGGACCAAATTACTGTCACTGATTTGTCCTTACTCTAGGGAGTGGTAAATATCCTAATCTTTATCGCCACCCAAAAGTCTGTACGGCAGATTGTGACGGGAAAATCAAGAGCCAGTGTGGCAGTGGTAAGTGCTACTGAACAGAAGTTTGTCGGAATCATTTTCATCAAATAAGCTGAACCTCTACTCCGCTTGAGCTACTATTTTGCAGACTTCCATACGAATCGGACGTCGTATAAATACCTACAGCGACCGGTTTGAAAGCAGGAAGGCGATGTTCAAAGCAGCGACCACCGTTTAATGTATATAGCGTAGAGATAATAGAAATTGATCACATATTTGCTCAAATGGACTTTTCGTGTCGTTCTGTGTCTTCTCATATGCTTGTTAGCATGTATATGTTATGATATTCACTAATGCTAATGTGTTCGTTCTACCGTCTTCCCCTTTTGTCAGCTGTATTTCGTTGAATCCGCTATTTTCTGCTATACTAGAACAATGCTGAGAAGGACACAGAGCTGTAAATGGGAGGCATTGATTAGACGGGAGAAACCTTCTCAAACTCCAGTCGTCTTATCAATAACTTCTTCTGTATATAGCAAGTAAAATAAAAATTTTAAACCAACTTTATCCCCGTATCTTTTGTTGTTTCATCTGTTACGACTTTGATGCTAGCTTTCGTAAAGGAAACATTACACTTTCTGGGAGATGCAACTGTGTAAGACATCTTCAAAGAAAGTGAATCAACATTGGTACTGCACTTTAACTTTTCAGGGTGATTTAGGTAAAATCGTCCTCATCCCACCAGACACTCACAAACCATTACCTGCACAAGTTTGTTGTGTAAAAACTACAGTAGACACTTCACTTCAGAACCTATAGACCTAGCAGGCAGCCAGCTCCATTGTTGGACGCATTCAAGAACCTTTAGGCAGTTCCATAGATGTTTGCCAAAGAATCTTTTTGCTGAAGCTGTAAAGAAGAAAGTCCATGAATTGGAATAATGGAGTTTGTCTTCGTCAAACGAAAAATTTTTTTATGTAATAATGTGTCCAATAATGACGCCTTACAAGCGCTCCCTGAGCTGCTCGATTCACGTATTACCAATATGGAAACGTACGGGCTCAGTAAAGCGCGCATCATCTCCTTGGTCAAGGAATGCCTGGCATGCAACGTCTTCAAATGGTCGGGACAATATTATGCACAACTAAGAGGACTAGCGATGGGACAAAGACTAGCGCCCGCGCTCGCTATTTGCTTTATGAGCAAAATAGAGGAGCCGGTATTATTACGATGTCCCCTGATGTACTGCCGTTACATCGATGATTGTTACATTGCTACTGCAACTCAATCCGTGGATGAGTGCTTCAGAATTCTCAATGAACAATTACGGTACATCAGCTTGACAAGACAGAGACCACACGATGGCTGGCTACCATATCTAAATACACAGGTGATGTTGGAAAACGGAGCAGCACACGTCAAATGGTATCGGAAGGAGAGTTCTAAGAGTATAATTCTGCATGCCACATCTGCGCACCCATTTGCTGTAAAACGAGCGATTATTCGCAATATGTTTAAAACAGCGCGCGATGTTTGCAGCGGTGAAGTTGAAAGACTGGAATCTACGAAGCTGGCATACGAGATAGTTGCTAAGAATGGTTACCAACTGCAGTCCAGATCTCGCAAGAGAACATGCGCGAACGCTAGCAGTCAGACTCGATCACGTATATCGCTATGCTTACCGTTCGTGTCCGATAGAGTAAGCAACGCTTTATAAGCAATGTCTAGTACAAGCGCAATTGGCGGATGATGTTGTTTTAGTGAACATACCCCAAGACAACATCAAAAAGCAATTGGTCCGCAATAGATTGTATGACAGGTAATGCGTAATGCAGAACTGCTTTGCACAAGTGAGAGGTTAGGAGACTGTTCGAAATGCGCAGTGATTTACCAGCTAGAATGTAAGATATGCCATGTCATTTACATAGGCGAAACTGGTCGACCACTTCATGTACTTGTCAGCGAACATCTGGCGAGTAAAAGAAGGCAAAGTCTCGTAAGCCCTCTTGGAGAGCACAGGAAAGAGGACCATGGAGGAGATGATTTTGAAATCCAGTGTTGCATTTTGGCTGTCAAAGAACATATTGCTGCTCGAAAAGCGTTAGAGGCTTCATTCATACTTGTTCGTAATCCTAAAATGAACAGCAAGAACGAACATTTGTCTATCGTGATCTGAAGCCGTTTCTACCATTTTGCGAGCTATGAGTAGCCTACACTATTTAAGCGTGTCGTACTTATTCGGACCGCTCATTTTGTCATCATCTGCTGTGGGCGACCGTGAGAGAGAGCTAACACCCTTACGCTCCTCACCAGAAACACTTGGTAAGCTGTTCAACTTGAGAACTTATCTGCGTCACAATAGATGAGTCAAATGTACGATTTGGAGAAAGTGTTTGGTGGTCTAGATCGTTTGGTTGAAGAGTGATTGACTCGCTTTCAGGCCCCTGAAGACGGCATTCAGCCGAAACGTCGGGCAGTAAATAAATTCCTTTGAAAACCTGTTACGGCTTAAAACAATTGAACAATATCTACAAAACATGCCAAGGTTTTACAAAAAGGAGACCTACAATCTACTTGAAAAATTTTTTTTCGAACTTATGACCTCGTCTTCTAAAACGTCGTCAATCTTCCAACATTTGATTCAAGATGTTTTGCTCGTCTTGCATGGACCTACATGGGGCTCAGCCAGTACACCACTAATCTGGAGCTCCATGCAAGCTCCAAAGGCACAATGTTACACTGTGACCGAAGGGTACGTTGCCGTTCGCGCAAGACGTCCCCTGCCTACTTGTCCGTTATCCTCGTATTTTTCTGTCTGATCTAGTAGTAGAGGGAGTTTTTTTTATTCTGGTCAGCTTTATTTCATGCATGGGAGCGGGTAACTTTGTTGTTTCAGTTATTGTTACCAACAATACGGTACTAACAATACGGTATCCTGATGCACTGCTTTGTTTTCTAACTGCCCCAAATAGGTAGTAGAGTTAGCAAAGCGTTTTTAGTGCATCGAATCTACTAGTGCTTTATGTGCATGGAAACATCCTGTTAAGATTTACACACTTTGTTTGCAGTTTTATGACTAATTACTTCAACGTGCTGATTTGATCGCCGTCCTGAATGTTTTGGTAGATAATTTAAGGCGTCATCAGCGTCACTGCAATGTATGCTGCAATTCAGCGCCATGCAACGAGTTTCTTTCCCTTGTATCATCTATTCTGCGACTACTCATAAGAAACTCAAAGCGTTTGGCAATATTGTAAAAACAAGCTTGATCACGTATTTAGCAACTTTATGCTTGTGATCTATTTTTCTAGTTATACAGGGCGTCCCAAAAAATGTGCACACTGTTTGATCGTTATAACTCGCTTGCTGTGATGGCTCTCGCCGATCTTTACTTACGATTCTGTAGGAGGCTCATCTTAGATTCACAGTATAAAGCAAAACTCCGATATCTTTTTGCTACTGTAGGATTATGGTATGAATTTTCAGCACACAGCGCCACTATGAATTAGGCGGTTCGCTTAAAAAAGAGATAAGAAAACTCTGGAAATTTGTGTAGCAGAGTTTTTGAGCATGCTGATTTCATTATGCAACTTTTTACAAAAATTCTGAGCTTTCTCAGAGCTGTAATCACATTTTCAAAGAACATAGCAGTTGTTACTCTTTTCCTTAAATAACTCGTGAGCGAAGCATGAACGTGGCTTGCAAATTGTATATCTGTAATCAGCGACTTTAATTAGCCCAGTATAAAGGTTTTTGGCCCGTTTGGTTTCCTTGCCAGGGGCGAAATGCAACTCTTATAGCTTAAAACCCTCTTCAAATTTCCTTCTACAGTAACTAAGGGAGATCGGAGTTTTGCTTCTTCATACTGTAAGCTTAAGTTGGAGCGAGCTCTACAGAATGGTACCTAACTATTGGCGAAAGACGTCGAAGCAAGCGAGTTATCAACGATCAAAAAGTGTGCACATTTTTTTGGAAACCCTGCATCTGCCGCTTGGAGACGTAAAGAGCAAGTTCAAGCTTGTTTAACACATTGACGACCGAAGCCTTTCTCGGACCAGCCAACATTTTTAAATAATGTCACGCACAATTCCATCTACAATACACCTACAGTAGCGCTGGAATGCTGGCAATAACAGTAGAGGTTGTATCTAAGTCCGGCATGTGTACAATTTTTCGCAGTAAAGCTGCTTAGAACTCGCCTACAAAGGCGTTCTGCAGATATGGAAGATAGATTTGACAGCTTGTCTGGATTGGCCAGTTCGACTTCTGACCATTCCTTTGTCAGTCAAAAACAACCCTTAGCAACAGCATCTTTGAAATAGCTACCTGATTAGATCACGGGCAAGATCAGATTCAGTCGGAAAGCTTCAAATCTTATAATAAATGCAGGTTGTCATGGGGGGGGTGACGCGGTGACAAAAAGAAGGGCCTTACAAGCATATTCAGGGAAAAGTCCTCGTACTCAAAACGCTAATAAGGGGCTTTTCCAATTTTCTATTCGAAGCTGTAATAGTATCATCCCTTATTGCGTCAAAAGGCCTTTTCATCCACTAAATTACACCAGTATTCCTGAATAAACCATGTGTTAGCTAGGTGTTACGCGTTTTCCACGAAATTGTCCCTATAAACGAGGTGAGTAAATTCGAATCTGAGTCTGAGAGCATCTGTTGTAGTAGCGGCACCTTCAGCCCACAGTTCTAGCTTACGCATATTTTCCTTCTGTTTTTTCGCCGAATTGCTTTGTGTTTTTTTGTCGTTGCATATTTTTGTTTCAACTTTGGTTATTGACGATTTTATCGTTGCAGACCATGTATGGCTTATGGCTGTATGGCTGTACGGCTTTGCTCATTTTTTTGACTCCAATTTCATCTAGTTTTGGATGAAGATAGGTCATATGTGCTTGCAAGTTTTGGGTTACATGCGTTGAGTATTCATTTCATTGAATGTTGTGTCGCAAGTTCCCCATCTGCATTTCTACAAGTATACCTGAAATCAGAGTTAGAGATATGAGTACAGCAGTGTAAAACACGTCCATTTCAAGTATAAACATAGTTAAAATACAGAAACAGCATGCAACTACAAAAATGAAAAGAAAACATCATAAGCTCAGAGGCACTGTCCTCCCAAAGTTAGGGGTCTTGAGCTTTTAGCAGCATGCAATAGTAGGCCCCCTATCAAACCAATGCCCAAGTCGCAGCGTAAAATGTCGCTTCGAAAGCGAGAAAGTTGCTCCGGAACAGCGAACAGAGCAGATGGCTCCTGAGCGACGC